GAAATTTTATTTCCTATTAAATTATGTTTCTTGTTAAAATTTTTTTTACAATTGAGGTGAAATTTGAGAATTTTAATAGGAAATTTATATTGAAATATAATTATTTTTAACAGTCAGTTGTAAATTTATTCACGATAGGAGAAGAAATATAGTTTATTAAGTTTGAGGTAAATTTTGTAAATTTAAGTAGAAAGGAAGTGAAGTTTAATTATCCTTGACAGTCGGCTGTAAATTTATTCTCAATAGAAGTGAAAATATAGTTTGACGATCGATGTGAAATTCTGAGAAGAATTTTAGTTGTAATTATTCCGTGTCAGTCAGTTGTAAGTTTATTCGCAATTAAAAAAAAAAAACTGCGATTTACTAATTCGAGTCGAATTTTCAAAATCTTCGTAAGAAATAATTGAAATTTATATTTACTCCTGACAGTCAAGTGAAAGTTTATTTACAACAGATGCAATTTACTAATTGAAGTGAAATGTTGAAAATCTTCGTAGGAAATAATTGAAATTTATATCGAAACGTAATTATTCTTGACAGTGTGTTGCAAACAGCGATCTCGGCTAAACCTCAAAGACAACGAACTGTCAAAGCATTCGATAAAGAGAAAAAAAACAGCAACCCATCAACCTGTTCTATGTTCCCATTCTATTTCAATGCTCGCAAATACCCAGCTACTCGCACGAACGATTCCCCGCGGGCACGGCAGCACAAAACCAATAATCTCACCGCCATATCAAAATACTGTTTAAACCTTGGTATTAACGGGAAGCTTTGCCTCGAGGAGCGTTTAGAATGTCACGGTGCGACGGTCGCAAGAGAAGATCGCGTGCGCGCGCGTTTCTCGCCACGATCGGCGATGCAATTATGCACACTCGTTCCTGGCGATGGTCGACGTCGTCGTCGTCGTCATCGTCGTGGCGACGCTTCGCTTTCTCAGACAAGCAGCAGCAGCAGCAGCAGCAGCAGCGAAGGAAGGAAACTCCGTCGCCCTCGGGTATACACGAATGCAATCGTGACGAGGTCGCGCACCAGGCCGCGCGTACTCGGTTAAGTACACTTTATTAAGCATGCCGTCTGCGCGTTGCAGCATCCACTTACGTGGTAAATGGAATTACAAACGCATCCCGCCCGCCGCCCGTCGATCCCCGCTTGCGGCTGACACCTTCTGCGCTGCGCGGCTTACGCCGTTGCACACGTTAAACCAACTCGATCTCGCGGAGGCGTCATGTTTGCGCGGCACCGCGCCCATTCGCCAATCGGGTCGACCGCGAGGCGAGTTGGATTTTTTTCGAGGAACGTCGGATGCGATGGAGAGGCGATTTTGGTTAACGATGTAACGCGTTAATTAATTTGAAGAAGGTTCGGGATGATTCTATTGAGAGCCAATGAAGTTTGATATGAAATGAATGAGAAGTTGAACACACGGAATGTATTTTTACATTAGTGTCTATTACAGCGTGTATTTGATGGTTTATTTACTGATACTGTTCGACGTTTGTACGTGCATTGAATTTTGTATCATTTAGTAGCAGTAAGTAAGAAAGCAGTAGTAGCATTTGGTAGTAATTGAAAAGGTTTAGAAAAATCTGATTCACTAAAATGAAGTGATACGAACACCGATAATACAACGTTCTGCCACTTCCTTGCTTAACAAATAAAACGTAATCTGATCTTACGCTGCGCAATTTGGACAATCTCGTCAGGAGAAGAATTGACAAACTTCAGCCTGTTTAAACAACAACTCTGGCAACAAATTTTTCGCCATAGTCAAAGAGACCCGGATCGTATCCGTTTGCTTTCGCGAACGATCAATCAGACTGGAAACCGGGGAATTCGTGGAAGCGCGCGTATCGACGATGGAAAGTTGGTAGTCTGCTCAAACGAACCTGTAATTGAGAATTGGGGGATCGGCGGGAAGGCGAGATGCGTACGAACGGGGAGGGATTGGGAATGAAAATTCCGCGGCGTCAGGCGCCGAATTCAGCTCCGGTCGAGCGAATTTACCCTCGCGGAGGACGCGAGGCGCGGCTCGTTTATCAAATTCGCTCGGTATGCGCCGCATCAAAGACAGAGCCGTTGATTTATTAAATTGCGGCCGGATGAAACCGTGACTGCGCCGCGGAAAGAGGAATCTATTAACGGTGGATTCGATGTCACCAGACGTCGTCGTCGTCGTCGTCTTCGTCGTCGTCGTCGTCGTGAGCGGGGAGAGACGCTCGAAGACAAAATTATTAAAGTTCGGTGTATACACATTTATCTTCCGTCCGATGTTTGCGTCGCTGAGACGACGAGCTAGAGCTAACTCGTGAGCGGACGTGCGCGCGCGCGACTCAGCTCCTCTTCTTCCGGTAAATACGGCTCCGTCGAAGGTGATGAAAAGCGACTTGTTTACCTCGTCGCTGCGCCCCGTTGACTTCCGGGACAGGGAGGAAAAAAGTTTCACCGGCAGAGGAGGAGCCGCGTATACTTAAGGACGGTTCGACGACGGGGGATCTTTTATTTTAAGGCTAGAAAGTTTCGCGAGCGAGTCCACCCGTCCTTCCTTTTCAGAAGATGGCCGACACGAGCATCCGTCGGGGATGTTTGCGTTGTAGCGAAGAGAGAGGTGAGGGCCGTCGCATTGGAGAGTTGGTCGTGTTGATTGTTGGTACGTTGTGAAATTGGATTCTTTTTTGGACACGGATGGCGGATGGTAGCCGCGCGCGGGGGTTCTCTTGTTGGCTCTTCTGTTCGATGGGAAGTATCGAGGGGTAGTTTACAAGCTTTGATGATGTACAGAAGGAGGCGTTGTTTTGAAGGTATATTCTTCTTGGAAGACTCGTTTTATTCGGGCGAGAATTGTTGCGTAGATCGTGGATGTTTACGCGAATTTGATCTGCGCGAAAAAGCGTGTACAGTTTGCTGTTTGCACAGACTGTGTAAAAATTCACGAAAATATACAGATCACTCTAAACAGATTGTTCGTTACGATAAGATCGTAAATATTTATTCAAATTCGTTTCAATCACTGGATCGCACAAGATAGAATATTCATTCGACGAAACAAATTTCTCGATAAAGATGAACAAAAATCTCTCTTGACTGCTTAAATCGTGTACATCGTTCTTCTTTCTCTCCTCCTTCATTTCTTGCTCCCCTAGCGACTAAAGACAGACTAGAAACGATCCGGTGCTTACCAGAATTCCGGCACAATGGCCGTTCGCGGAACAATCATTAATTAGATTCGCCGTGAAACAGGGATGAAAGAGGAAGGCTGGCCAGAAGACGAAGGAGGACGAACGCAGGTGTTGCTGGACCAGCGACCGACGACGACTCCGACGAAGACCGAGAGCAGCGAATAGAAGGGTGGAGAGAGAGAGAGGAGGGGTTGGAAAGGAGGAGGAGGAGGAGGAGGAAGCAGCGTATCTCTCCTTGAAAATAAATCGGAGGAGTAGCGCTGTTCCTCGGCCGGAAATGAGGCTTGCCAAGCACAATCTCCGGTCAGAGAAGGCCTCTCCATTTTGTTCTTTGTGATGTGTCCGCTATAATTGAAAATGTCCGCGCGCACTCGCCGTCGTGAGACTTTGCGCCGTGCGCTACCCTTTCTTCGAGCAAACTCCACCGTGGCAGTCTCCTCCGAACCCCCTCTCTTTTCGAGGCCGAATCGCGTTATTATTGTCAGAAGGACACAATGGGCCACGGGGAAACTCGCGTTTAGTCCGCGAGCATCGCGGTTCGTTGCCGCTCTATGCAAATATCTCCTCGCCACTGTGCCAGGATTGTTTCTCCTCCCTCGTCTCGGAGAGGACTTGTTTTCCTTCTCTGTGAATCGGTTCTTGATGGGGAGAATTTTGAGTGGGTTGCATTCGATGGCACGGTGTGTAAATTTTTTCAGGACTATTTGTCTGATTTTATTGTACTGGAACAGAATTGTAATTTTTCCTTGAAGTTTCACACATTTGCAACATTTCTGTGCATTTTTTCAAGATCTGAATGATTTTTTTATTCAATCGTAGAGATCGTTCTTATTTTCTCCTTTTCAGTCGAATTTATTTTAAAACACACTTGTGATTTGTAACCTACGAATAAATTCTCTGGATAAAAAATAACTTCTACTTAAGAAGTGTTATCTTACAAGCGTCCGTGATTTCAACGTTACGTTACCCTGTTTCTTTTCGAAACGAGAGACTGAGATACGAAGTTAGTTAGAGCGTGTCGTAGCGTTTTACATTGTTAAATATAAATTCGCGGGATATACTCAACAGTCGAGCCGCGCAAATGGAAGAACACTGTACGCCTGTCCAGGAACGATCGTCGCGCTTACAACGAGCCTGACGTTTTTTTAACCGGCGGCCAATCGATACTCTAGATCGTTTCTTCATGGCGGCATCGATCGGTGGTGATGGGGGGCCAATCGGCCATTAAGTATATCCTGTCTAGCGATCGCAAAAAGGGACGCGACAGGCAATCAATCTTCTATAAGTCGAGGCCTCGAAGAAACACCCGCCCGCTTCTATCGGGCCGTTCTTGATCGTGCGAAGAAAATGACGCGCGCGTAAGAGCCGGAATCTCTCGCGAGAGTGACGTGTACAGCAAGAAATTGTCGATCGGGAATCTCGAAACACCGGCACGGCGTGCAGATAATGATGTTGACAGGTTTCTTATGCCTGTGGTATTCTTTTCGATCTCTCGAGATAGATGTATGGAAAATTCGAGCCATTCTCCGCTAAGAACGTCTTGTGACGTACAGGCGGATCTTTAATCGGTACAGTTTAACTGTATGTACATACTAGTACAATAAAGGGAAATAAAAGTAAATAAAACTGCCACTATAAAATGCTAATAAAAATAAATAAATTTTGACGACAGAACAGCTTCCACGGTGCCAGTTGTTTTCAAAGAAACGAAAGAAATGATTTACATCGGCTTCTTTTCGTCGAGTTATTCGATTTTATTGGTTTCTAGGCGCGTGGATGCGAGAAAGTTCATAGCTGACAGATTCGTTCTTTTGATTTCAGGTAGCAGCGAAGAATCGAGACCTGGGGGTGGTGATCCTGGAAAGTTGGGAGTGAAGAAACCAAGACCGAAGGCTTCGTCGCCCAACCGACAGGGACCACAGCAATGCCAGGTAGTAAAGTAAAGTTGTTAATTTTTTAAAATCACGTTATTAATTCACGTAGCTCGAGACTCTCTTCTACGATTATTAATGAAATTTTTGAAGGTTACAAATTTGTCAGTAATTCTTTTACAAATTCTAATGCAAATATAATATTAACTCTTTTACGTGTTACTCAGATTCTATGATTTTTCTCCAAAAAAANAAAAAAAAAAAAAAAAAAAGGAAAATAATCTAAACTTCGTTTAAAATACCCAATTTTGCTTTTTCAACATTAATTTCGAAGACTGATCGTGAACTGAAACACAGTTCATGTGAACAATTTCCCTTCTTTGACCAATTATCGACGATCGAAGTTCCAACTTCTAAGAGGTGATCATTGCCCGGGTTCTTTCGATGCGCGAAATGTGAAGGAAGTTGACGTTGCACAATCGAGTTGCACGCGGAAAGACGTCAAGAGGCAGGAGAAGGCGAGAGCGTTCGAAACGCGCTTTAATGTCAAAGTTGAAATCGTTGAAGCTCGGCCCGATCGGCCGCGGCGGTGCGGCGTCCCCCTGGTGACGTTCGTTTGACAATTTTATTAACTCGCCGCCGCCCGGCTGCAAAGAGAATTTCCAGTGAAATCGCGGAGAACGGAGGAGAGAACAGTTCATTAGCGACACACGGGGACGATCGAATTAGAACGTCGATCGATGGCCAACGAAGTGTGGCCTGCGAAACCGCAAGTCCACAAAATCCACGCCAGCTTACCGAGAGAGAGAGAGAGAGACTCTGCCCCTTTATTCTCCCGTTTCACGTTTTTCCTCCGCTATTGTTCCACTTGTACTTTACGTTTTATCGCTCTTGTTTCCCTAGGCATTCTGCCTTTCGTTTCTCCTCTTTTTTTTCTCTCGTTCTTTCTTTCTTTCTTTCTTTCTTTCTTTCTTTTTTCCCTCTCTCTCTCTCGTTCGTTTACGATCCTCGTACCGCTTCTGCGCTCTATGATGTTACGCTCTTCGTTTTGCCCCCTCCCTCCGACCCTTTCGTTCTTTTTTCCCGCGGTTTTAGTTACCGCGTATATTTTTCGGAGCAAATTCCTTCCCTTTTTGCCTATGTCCTCTGTGTTTTCTGTTTGCGCGTGTAACGTGTTCGTTGTGTGGCGCTTATTTTTTTTTTTCTTTCTTTCTTCCGTTTCTTCTTTTATTTTCGGGCGTCCAGAGACATCGGTGGTCGTAGCTATCGAAATTCACGTGTTTGGACTGCGAAACGATTCGAAATCGTGAAGTTGAAGCGAACCGAGAGATGTGTTTAGAGTTTCGAAAATTGCTATCTTGGACCATCGGACAAATTAGTTTTATTTGAATTTTTATGTGTTTGACTTTCAAAACTCGTTTTAATTTCGAATTGGAACTTCGAACTTTCGAATCACACGCTTCGATTTTCATCTCTCATTCTAAATTTATCGTTTTAAGTGTAAATTCTAATATATATAATTCTAATATATATTGATTTTAAATTTTTTTTTATATATCATTTGATATAACGAACTCGCCGTAATTATAAAAAGTGAATAATTATTGGCTAATAACTGATCAGCGTTCCTGTATTTCCGGAGATCCGACGCAGCTGTAGCTACTTCGAAAGCGTACCTGTGTAACAGCCGAATTAGGCCAAAAGTTCAAGGCCGCTCTCGGTACCATCCGCTTCGTTAGCCGCGTTCGATTTAATTTCTATTCGCAATTTGCGAACAAAGTCAAGAGAAATATCGAGTCGAAACCTCTCCATCTGCAATTCAGTTCTATCTATATTGGCTTTAGCTCCAAGCGATATATAAAAAGTAGAACCGACTCTTCCTAACTATCGATTCTTTACGTACTCCAACTATTGTGCGCGTTTATCTAGATACTGCAGAATTTGTACGTAAATTTAACGTTGTTGATCGTTTAATATTATTTCGTGTTTAACTTCAATTTTTGCAAAGGCAAGTTACACTTCTAAGGTTGAATTTCAGTGGTTCTAAAAAATTTGTAAGCATCGTAGAACGTGTAAGCAACAACACGGAAAATCAGAAACCTGACACGCAAATTTTCCTTGTCACATAACTTTATCGACGTTATTAAACTTTAATAATCCTTCCGATAATTTTCAGTTTTATAAAATTCAAGAGGAATAAGTGCACGTTTGGCGCGAGTCGAGCATCTCGAGGTTCCAACATCAATTTCGGGGTGGGGGGGGGCTTCCAACTTCAGTCGAAACTAATTGCGAATATGATAATACAATTAAATCTGTTTGTATCAAATCGGTTGTATGTTCAAACGTTTCGGTTAGACGCAGACCCACAGGCTGCGGAATGAACGCAGAAACGACTACATCCGTAACATTCTCTGCTAATTTACGTCGCGGTGAATTTCCTGAACGTTAATAATTAAACACACTCGCTGCGTGTACGACGCGAATAACGTAAACTGATTTTCGAACACAGCCCGGGCTCAGTCGGGGCATTTAATTTTATCTCTTTGAGGATATTTGCAGCGTCCGACCATGTCAAAGCGAAAATTCGAATTCGCATTAATTAAACGTCGTTTCTTACAGGACGCCTGCCTTTCAAGCAAATACATCGCGTCCTGCAATTTCTCGCAAGAATATCTGCAAAGTACCTTTCAATCTCCCTTTTAATTCACCCTGCACGTCTGTAATAATCTCTGGAACAGCGTATAAATTTCTTTAACCGTTGGACGTTCGTTAATAGCACGCTCAATTTTGGGAGGATGAGTTTTGAGAATGTTGCGAGAGAGAGGTCATGATACGTAATTGAAATTACTCGTACGATACACAGAACACCCGAATATTTGTAACAGAGTATTACATAAATATAAAATATAATATGTAACAGTGTATAAATATAAAAATAATATATACAGATATAAGTACAAAATGGTATATTAAAATAATATTGTAAAAATAGTAGTAGACTCAACGAAGTATATATTTTACTAAAATCATTGAAATTTCTAAAAACACGTCATCTTATAAAATTTCTGCGGAAAGTTATTACGACTCATACATTGTGCCATCTTCGTCAATCTATTCGTTTTCAGATTAATAAATTAAGAAGAGCTTTGCCAATTTTGATATTAATAAATCAAAACAGAAAAGAAAAGAATAAATAACGCGTTAAAGTAAATTTTAAATGCAAAATTACGAGTTTCGTCCACTGTGCTAATTCTAATATCAACGAAGAAAACAGCCTTGCACGTTTGAGAGATTGCTGATCGCTCATTTCTCGCTAGTTCTAATCTCGATGAACCGAGAAAAAAAAATGCTTCGCACGTTCGGTGAGTTGCCTTGTAGATCGAAAAAATTTTTCCGTGATACTACGAGAGTTTCTCATTTCTGATGGCTCTCCCGATTTTCAGAAGACATCATGTCGTCTTGTCCGATTTTGAAAATGTTCCCGCGGAATTTCGTTAAACGGAACTTACTCCCAGATTGGTGTTAACCAAAGAAAAAGAATCGTTGCTCGTTAAACGGTTTAGAAATTCCATCACCGCTTCCGAAACTTTCGCCAAAGTTCCATCGGAACAACGTTCTCGAAGCGTTTCGTCTCGTCGGGAAATCTCTCGAAAATCCTCGGAAATCCTCCGAATCCTCCGAAATTTCGTCTGCCTGCAGGCTAGGCTGTGCGGGATCATACTCACACACATACACACAGTGTCGCGTGGTATTCGGTGGAAGCTCGCGGTACACGTGTGCGGCGTTTTCGCGTGCACGCGCGACCCAGATCGGGCAGGAAACGACGAGAGCAGGACGCGAGAGAGCCACGCTTCTATCGATGCCGGACTGTTTATGCAGGCGAGCTTGCACCAAGCTCGGCCAAACTGCTCGTTCACACACGTGCACGTGCACGAAGGCGACACACGTCGGCCAGCAGCAACGCCGCGCTGGTTTGGTTAGTGTGTAACTCTCCGGTGGTAGGAGGCTGTTGAATATTCAGGCGATGCGATCCTCGAGCAGCCACGAGGAACACGCCGCCCTCGTCGAGCATAACACACGAACGCAATATCTCTTCGTTCGCGTAACCGAGCACCGTAGTTACGTGAAGGACCATTTAAGAGGGTGCGACTGTGTTTCTTTCTTTTTCTCCCTCTTTTTTTTCCTTTTTTTCTTTCTTTCTCTCTCTTTTTGCTCACCCCGTTTAAATTACGTCACGTTGCCGTCATTTTCGTTTCTTTCCGGTCCTTGGTTTCAGCGAGAAGCAGAGAGCTGAAATTTTTTTTTCCCAGCGAGTCGTTAGAAGGGAACGAAACTCGTTGCAGTTCCACGGGAACGAGCTGGAATGTCGTTTAACGTTTGAAAGATCCGTCAGGTTGTTTAGGGTGGGGGAGGCGAACAATTATTGGTCTCGACGAAAGGTATGAAAATTGGATTTTTGGAACACGAAACGTGCGAAAAAGGGGGAGTAATGAGAAACGAAATTTTTGTATTTGATTGTACTTAACGATTAACAATTAAAAGGAACGTCTTAAATACGACAAACTGATCGTGAAATAGATCGGTAATGAGAAAATTGCTCAAATATTCTTCTACCGATGCCGTGTTCTATTTTTTAAATTTTCATTTGTAGCTCACTTTTAATTAACGAATAATACACACACAGACACTTTTCGTTTTTAGCATTACTTCATTTGCACCAATTTAATTACAATTGAATTCTTCTACGTTCAGTAATCAATTTCACCCAAAAATGGCGACAACTCGTGCGACTTCAACTATAATCGTTCGTTGAAGAATACTAATATTGAAAATTGCGAAGAATTGATAGGTAAAAGATACGGACTCTCTCTTTCTCTCTTTTTGAACGTCTTTGCGACAAAAGACAAGGATAATTCGAAGCCCGATAACTAGTTTCATCCTTCATCGTCAAAGCGGCGTCTTCGTTTCGTATTAGCGACTTGGATAGCCGAGAACCGGAGGACCGTGAATTACGGACCGCCTTGTTACATAATTAAATGATGGCTTGGCCGACTTGTTGA